TCCATTCTCCTCTCGGGATGTTGGGCATGCACGCTCACGCGCCCAGCGTGAGTTCTAAGCCACCGGGTCCGGGACTCAAACCATGGGCGACTACATGGGAGTCCAGCGACATAGCCATTACGCCAACTGCTGGTCCCCCGCATATTATTTTCTGATATGTATTATATTATTTTCAAGTAAATTCCCATCTCCTAAAATGGACCCTTATTGTTTAATGAGTTTGGAGTTTCAGTTCAGGAAGATGGAAAGTTCTGGAGATCAATGGTTATTGTCATTGTGCTGTAATGTGAATATACTTAAAAACACTAACCCATATGTTGAAACATCATTCACTGGCCCAGCTGCTGTGGTGCTGTGGAAGCTCAGCGCTTTCACTGGAGGCCCCGTGAAAGACTAGGGTTTGGTTCTCAGGTCAAAATGTACATACCAGGCACAAGTACATGCCAATGGTCCTAGCTGGCTGGAAAAACTAGGGGAAGGGAGAGCAGCAGTTGGCATAATGGCTATGTCGCTGAACTCCCATGTGGTTGACCATGGTTCGAGTCCCGGACCCAGTGGTTTAAACTCACGCCCAGCGCATTCGCATACGTGCCCAAGATCCTGAGAGGAGAATGGTGGATGCAGTGAGGCATCCCCTGGGGGGTGATTTCTCGCTTTCTATCTCAGTGTTTCTCTGTCTTTCTGGTGAGCGCACACGCCCTACCGCAAGAAACTTCTCCAAAAAGGAAAAAAAAAAAAAAGCTGGGGGAAGGATGATGGCATGAGACCTTGTTGAGGGTACTTCTCCCTCTCTTCCCCCGTCATTAAATAAATAAATAAACAAACTTTTAAAAAATGGTTAAAATGGGAAACTGTGTTGTTAGATGTCACTATGATTTAAAAAAAAAATTAGTGGGTTATGACTTGATAAAAAAAGGAAGGAGTTTTTTTTTTTTTTTTTTTTGGGGGGGGGGGGCTTTTTTCTCTTAGGGGGAGTGCAAGAGACAGAGAGACAGAAAGTGAGAAATCACTCCCCACGGGGGAAGGCCGTGCCACAATCCCTTCTCCTCCAGTCTCCCCTTGGGAATTTGGGGGTGCACACACATGCACTCAGTGTGTTTTAAGTTGCTGGGACTCGAACCACAATCAACTATGTGGGATTCCAGCAATGTAACCATTATGCCAAATGCTGGTCCCTGCTTAATGACTTTTCATCACTTATTCTTGATCCTGTGTTGAGAAAGTTGTTTAACTCTTGTTTATACATATGGAGAAGAATGTGAAACGAAGGGGAAATCTGAATGTTTAAATGTTTTAAAAATTAAATGATTTTCCAAAGCACTGCTTAGATCTAGAATTATTTCATTAGTCTATTATTCACATGCCAGGTTAAAATAGATTTATAAAATTATTTTTTAATTATGAAAGCAATACTTGCTCTTTAAAATTTAAGTATAGTAAGAAAGTAAGACTTTCCCTGTCTCCTAACCTCCTCTTTCTACTCAAGGGCAACTCTTCTACCAGAATAGTTATATGTCACATATGAGTATCTATGTTTTATAGACATTCTTTTAAAATTGTTAATTCATGTTTCTATACATGTATTTGTATAAATATGTTTCTGTTATACTCTAATACAATCTACTTTTTCTTTTTTATTTAGAATTATTTTATTTAACTTTATTTATTTATTTGCTTATTTATTTATTTTAATTTAAACACAGAGGGACAGAGTGAGAGAAAGAAAGAGAAAGTGAGAAAGCAAGGTGCCAAGTCCAGGACTTGAACTGTGGTCAGCCACGTGGGAGTCCAGCACCCTCGACCACCACGCTACCTGCTGGCCCCCAATCTGCTTTTTCAATTAATGATCTATCCTGATGATCTTTCGATAGTACTACACTGATTTGCCTTATTTTTTAAAGTGACATGGTGTTCAACTACATGTAAAAATTGATATACTTATCTACTCGCACAAAAATCTTACAGATATTGGAGGAAAAGGACCTGACACTGAGTAATCTATGCCATAAATTACTTTGATTGCAATGATATAACTTGAGTTTGAATATGATATTCTCTGTCAGATTACTTTCTCGAAGGGGCAATAGAGTTGGCTCTGTGGAACAGAAGAAATGCGCTGCTCAAGGGAGGCTGTATCCCACATGGCGACCATGGTTGGAGTTCCCAGACCAGTCAACTGGTAACCTGCTGGGCACGCACATCAGTGCTCAAGATCTGAGGGGCTGGAGGACTAGAGGAAGGGGCCGTCAGTTTGATCAGACCCTGTGAAGGGTGCTCATCTCTCTGTTTCTCAGACACATTTTTTGTGCTTGGACTCTTTCATGAATAAAGGGGGGAAACTACAACAAATATATGATATAGAACATCTATTATTGGTATCTGTATTGAGTATTTTCTAGATCAATTTGAAGTCATAAAAGTAATTTAATGCAGTCTATAAGTACCCAAAACACAGGCCCCAAAGCTTTATAGCTTATAATATTTTTCCAACTTAGTAGAAATGTCAGAATTGAAAAATATGTACATCTAGAAACCTCCTTGAAGAGCTGGGGTCATGGTACCAAAACAGCCACACAGAAATAAAAACTATGGTCAAAATATTTTATAGTAATACTTGACAATGAAAAACAATGAGATTGCATTGTTACTTCATAACTTCTTAATGAAAGTCCCAATTTTGCCATATCAAAGTGCTAAGAAAGGATGTTTCTAAGCAACTAAAGTAATTTAAAAATTCTGCTATTATTATTATTATTTTTTAGATAGAGATTTTTGCTATAGGGTACATGTGCTCACCAGAGAGACAGAGACAGACAGACAGAAAGCAAGTTGAGAATCACACCACAATCCCTTCTCCTCCATTCTCCTCTTGGGGTCTTAGGCATACACGAATACACGTCCAGCGTAAGTTTGAAGCCACCGGGTCTGGGACTCAAACTGCAGTCAACTATGTTTGATTCCAGTGATGTAACCCTTGTACCATCTGCTGGTCCCAAACGATTATTTTTTTAAAGGTTAACACACGTATGTATATATACACGTATATGTATATGTATACTTATACAGAGTGAGTGTTTAGATCATCATCCAGCAATAAAGCTTTTAATTAAGATTAGCAGGAAAACTGACAACTTTCAAAACTTATTAAATGGAGAAGGGATTGCAGCATGACCATGCCCCATGAGGAGAGCTTGCTTTATCACTTTCTGTCTCACTCGCTCTCTTGTGAGCACATGCATCTTCTGACAAACTTTTAAAAAGTGGTGTAGCCATTTTGGAGAATAGGTTGGCAGCAACTCAAAAGTTAAACATAGAGTTGCCGTGTGACCCAGAAATCCCACGGCTACATGTATATTCACAAGAACTAAAAACATACATTCACCCCCCCCCAAATTTGTATTTGAATGCTTACAGTAGTAGTATTCAAAGTAATCAAAAAGAAAAAGCAACCTAACTGTTCATCCGTTGGTAAATGGACAAACAAAATTGTATATATACATGTCATGGAATGGTGTTTGGTCAGGAATGAAGTGCTCATACATACTACAACATGGAGAACTGAAAATACCACCCCAAGAGAAAGAAGTCACATATTTATGATTCTATTTACACTAAATGTCCAGATTAGAAAAATCCATAGAGACAGAAATTAGATGATTAGTTTCCAGGAGCTGGATGAAAGAGGGGTGAAGAATGGCTGCTACTGGCTCTGGGGTTTCTTTCGAGGATGATGGAAATATTCTGAAATTTGTGATGACATTTGCGCAACTTTGTGAATATGTTAGGAACCACTTCGTTGTACAAATTCCTTTGAAAAAGAGAATTTGTGGTATGTAAGTTACGTCAAAAATCATTTTTAAAAGAGTAATCCGTGTCATTGAACGTCAAGAAGTTATTTAGTGCTTATCATGTACCAGGCTCGGTTAGACTTGAGTGATAAGAGGAATGAATACAATACGGCCTTCACACTCCACCAAGTCTGTCTGTTCACGAGAGCAAACATATGAAAAGATCATTGCGATACAGTTTGCCGTGTCTGTGTGATGTTAGTGTTCAGATTCAGGAAGATAAAGAAGACATTCATTGAGGAATGAAATTTCAGGCCTCTTGAAGAATGAATAGTTGTTTGCAGAGGGTACGCAGGGAAAGGAAACTCCGGATGCTGGAAAAGCATCTGCAAATATACAGAGGCAACAACCACCAGCTATTAAAAGGCGGCTCTGCCTAGCCACTGTGGCGTAGCAGTAGCACGCGTGCCCTGCAAGGCTGGAAGCCACGTGGCCAAGTGCAGATTGGAGTCAGGGTCAGACCCGTGAGTGCCCAAAATCCTAAGGAGCTGAGGGATGAAGGGAGGGAATTGAGGTGTGTCAAGAACCTGTCAAATTTGCTTTCTCTCTCAATCTTTCTTTCTCTCTCTCTCTCTCTCTGCCTTGAGTGTGTACAATGTCCTCTATCGTAAGACTAAACTTTAAAAAAATAACAAATCAGCTCAATTATGTAGTCTTAACCAACTCTCTGAAACCAAACTGAGTTCCTTCCGTGACTTAGATGTGATCAGAATCATCGTGAAGAGACTGCTGACGCTCAGGTGGCTGTGAGTGAAGACATGGCCTGTAACTATAAAAAGGCGTGGTCCAGTGAGAGAAGGGGAGCCACACAATCACCACATGCGTAAACAAATCCTAATAGTAAACACCATAAATAAGAGCGTGGCAGTAACTCTCGGAGGATGTAATTAACATTATGAATAAGACTAAGTGGGTCTGTGTGCTGAGGTAATGTAAATATCCCCATCAACTCAATCAGACCCAATAATGGCTCCAGCATAACTTATCTGGGTAAATAAAAGCTCTCATTGTTTCCCTATTCTGAAAACTAACTAATCAACATTTATTCATAAAGAGAACATAACTATGATTAAATACAAATCCCAGATAGGAAAGATTCATTTTACAACTTTCCTGGCTGATTAGACACATAGGCACAATCTTGTGACCTACCCCCTTCTCTGAGGCCGACTTCATCAATCTGGAAAATGAAGGCAGACCACTGATTGGAGGGCAAACCTGAAAAGGATTAAACACTTAGCATGGCATTCTGAAATACTGTAATTACAGTGCAATTAGCCATACTGCATATTAAACGTGCAACTCTGAAATGTGTTCAGACTCCCCAATTATAACTAGTTATTCTTCAAAGAATTTTGCCGCCCACATTGAATTTCTCTAGTGCTTCTTTGTTATAATTCAGGTGTGACAGTCACTAATATATCTAAAAGGACAGTTAATAAAAAGTAGACATTCTTTACTGTAAACCTAACACATGCATGCCAGGTAATACCCAGCCATTACCGCTAATCATCATGTTTCAGACAGGCAGATCTATTATGCAATTGGACTTTGCCCTCTTTAAAATGTATTTAATGGTCAGCTACGGAGAGACAGTGAGATGAGACAAGGGTAAAGCCCTAGGTGGGAGTCTAGACACCTCTTGGTTTTTCCCAAGTAGGTAAATCATTTAGCCTCTCTTAATCTCAATCTCTCATCTGTCAATTGGGGTTGATATCTGTTCACGATTTTAATGATAATCTAAAGTTTTAACTGACAGACAAACTCTAGAAAAGTTGGTCATTCTACTTATATCTAAGGTGTTACTCAATTATGGGCTCAGATTGTATTCTAAGAGTGATCAATAGAGGGGCTGGCAGGTGGTGTGGTAGTTATAGGCGCTGGACTCCCACATGACTGACCACGGTTCGAGTCCCGGACCTGGTGACTTGCTTTCTCTCTCTCTCTGTGTCTCTCTATCCCTCTCTGGTCAGATTAAAATAAATAAATTGGATAAAATTAAATAAAATAATTATTTTAAAAAAGAGTGATCAATGGAAAGGGATATTTGAAGTTAAACAGAGACGTTTGAAGTTACAATTTAGGCAAGGATGATTTTTTAAATATCTAAAATTTCTAATCAGAAAACAAAGTAAATCATTAAAAAAAAAAAAAGCTTTGAAATGAAAAGCATTGATATGGCCTGTACAGTGCAGACTACTTGAAGATTATCCTAGGTTCAAGGCTACAGAGAGTTTTGAAAACATACTAGGAAATCACAGAACATGTTGGGGAAAACATTCTAAAATCTCCTGGCATTTTAACCTAACTTTGTGAAAATGACAATAGAGTTTCTACAATAGGCAGCTAGTGGTCATCTTTGGAATGATTTGCTTAATTATTTTTCTTCTCTGCCAGATAGAGCCATAAGAAGAGAAATATGGGGGTCTTCCAAAAGATCATTGAAAATGCAAATAATGAAAAAACTATGTATGGATTTCAAAAATTTCTTTCCACTAAAATATAACTATACTTTAATCACATTTCACCACAAAGTCTGCAGTACCATGATATGTCTCCCTTTTTGCCTTTTTTTTTTTTTTTTAAGAGATTTCTGCTATATGGGGTGAGCACTCGCCAGAGAAAAGAAAGAGAAAAATCACTCTCCAGTGGGATGGTCACACCACAATCCTTTCTCCTCCATTTTCCTCTCAGGATTTTGGGCACACATGCATACATGCCCGGCTTGAATTTTACGCCACCAGATCTGGAACTCGAACTGTGGTCGACTACATGGGAGTCCATTGATGTAACCATTACACCTTCTGGTGGTCCCTGTTTTGTTGTTTTAAAGTTGTAATGCTGGAGAAAGATAAGAGAAAAAGGGAAAATAAGAAAGCACCATGCAGGAAAGATGGCTATATAACATTCCTTCTCCTCCACTCTCCTCTCAGAATTTTGGGCACACATACACATGGATTTCAAGGCTCTGGGTCCAGGACAAACTGCGTAATCAGCTACGTGGGATCAAGTCACATTAACTCCCACACTACTGGCCGGCCCCGTATGTCTATCATCTTTCTATTCCTAACTATCACAATACCTGGTGTAGGAGCTCAGTAAATGTTAGAGAAGGGAATGAATTAACAAATGAACAAGAAAGGGAATGAACAGATGCCCAGTTCTATTAGCCAGAACAATCTATGTTCTAGGAACTATCATTTTAGAGAGGATTGGGTAAAAGAGAGTGGTCACAGTTAAAGAAACTAGGGGCCATTAGCATAGGTACTGAAGAGTTTATGATATAGTAGGTATCTTCATTTTTTTTTTTCCTGTATAGAATACAGCATATCAAAACATGTAGGACATGTTGAAGTAATACCAACAGGGAAAGTTAAACTGCTAAATGCTTACATTAGAAAATTGGAACATCTCACGTCAGTCATCTAAATAACCACCTCAAAAACTAGAGACAGAGAGAGCAAATTAAATCCAAAGTAAGCAAAAGGAAGAAAATAACTGAGAGAAGAAGTAGGGCCAGCAGGTGGTATGGTGGGTAAAGCAGTTGGATTCCCACATGGCTGACCATGGTTCAAGTTCTGGACCTGGAAGCTTGCTTTCTCGCACTCTCTCTTTCTGGTGAGCACATATGCCCTGTAGCTAAAATGATACATAAATAATTCTTTAAAGGAAAAAAAGAGAAGAAATTGAAACATGGAAACAATAGAGAATATCAATAAAACAAAAGTTGTGTAATTTAATTAAAAAGTTAATAAAATCCATAAACCTTTAGATAAAGAAGAAAAAGAGAAAATTAATGGTCAATATCAAGAATAATACAGAGGATACCACTATAGCCATTAAAAATATAATAAGGGGCTAGTAAGGGGTTAAATTTTATATCATAATAATATAACAAGGGGCAAAAAATAATCCCACAAGGATAATGGGGAATATTTTGAAAAAAAAAAAAAAAGGAAAAGAAAAACATAACAGCAAAATGTGTGAAAGCAGTGCTCAAAGGGAGATTTATTGTTGACAATGCCTTCATTAAAAAAAAGAAAGAAAGCTTTCAAATCAATCGCCATGCCTTAAGAAGTAGGAAAAAAGAAAAAGAGCAAACTAAACCCAAAGTTAGCACAAGAAAGGAAATACTAAAGAATAGGATGGGGATAAATGAAATAGACAATTAGAAAAAAAAGATACATATAATCGATAAAACCAAAAGTTACTTCTTTGAAAATGTCAATAAAACTAACACACTTTAGCTAGAAGGACCAGAGAAAAAGGAGAGAAAACTAAATTACTAACATCAGGAATAAACATGAACACTGTTATTGAATTTATAGAAATAAAATGGATTATGTGAATACAAAAAATAAAAATTCCTAGGAAAACATACCCTACCAGGACCAACAGATGACATAATGGTTACATCACTGGACTCCCACACAGTTGACCGTGGCTTGAGTCCCAGACCCAACAGTTTAAAGCTCACGCTGGGTGCGTGTATGTGTGTGCCCAGAATCCTGAGAGAAGATTGGAGAAGGAACTGCATGCAGCATGGCTGTCCCTCATGGGGGGAAGGAGTGATTTCTCGCTTTCTGTCTCTCTGTCTCTCCAGCAAGTGCATGTGCCCTATAGCAAAAACTCTCTTAATACAAAACATACATTACCAAAATGGACTCAAGAAGAAATAGGAAATCTGTGTAGACCTACCAAAGAGATCAAATCAGTAATAACAAATCATCCACAAATAAAAGCTGAGAATTAGATGAACTCCACCAAACACTTAAAAAGAATTAGCACTATCTTTCACAAACTCTTTTTAAAAATGGAAGAGGAAGGAATACATCTCGACTCATCCCATTAGGCCAGTACTACCTTGATATCAAGCCATATATCCTGAAATAGATATGAAGTCCCATGGGACCTTAAATAGTCAATACAATCTTTAAAATAAAAATGAAGTTGGAGAGCTCACTCAATTTCTTAACTTACTACAAAGCTATAATTATACATTTTTTTTAAAGTATAAAGTTGGCTTAAGGATAGACAAATCCAAAGAGTAGAAGAACTGGTGGGCTAGCAGATAGCATAGTGATTAAGGTGCTGGATATCACAGGACTGAGTCCATGGTTCAAGTCCTAGACCTGTAATCTTGAAAAACACTCTGGTTGCATGTGCATGCATGTCCAAAATCCCAAGAGGAGAAGGGAGGAGAGAGAAAGGATTGTAATGTGGCATCCCCCGGGGCGGGGGTGGGGTGGGCAGTGATTTCTCAATTTTCCTTTTTCTCTGTCTTTCTCTGGCCAGCACAAAAATATATTTTTAAATTTTTTTAAATAAAAAGAGTAGAAGGATTGAGAGCCCAGAAATAAAACTGTACCTCTACAGTCAACTGATTTTCAACAAGGGGTCTAAGACCATTTAAAAAGGAAAGAAAATTCTTGTCAACAAATGGTGTTGAGATAACTAGATATTCATATACAAAACAACAAAATTGGATTCTTATCTCATCCCTATCATATACAAAAATTAATTCAAAATGTATCAAATACCTAAATGTAAGAGCTAAATCTATAAAACTCATAAAAGAATAGTGAAAAAATTATTTAATGTTATTTATTATTTTAAAAATTTTGCTGAAATGCACATGTGATCACCAGAGAGAAACAGAGAAAGAGAAAGAGAGGGGGAACAACAAAAAAAAAGGATGCAAGTTGCCAGGTCTGGGACTTGAACTGTGGTTGACCATGTGAGAATCTAGCACTTTAACCACCACACCATCCACTGACCCCAATAAATTTATTTATTTATTTTTATTTTCTTCTTTTTAAAATTTTTTTTTATTTTTTGGTTTTAGTTCATTAATTTGCATTCATTCACTGAGCATTGTCACAGTACACAAAATGTGATTCCCTATCCAGAATATGCTACATAGTAGCTTAATCATACATGTTATCATCAATAATTTTCCATTTCTAGTTTCATATACATATATATGTATGTGTGTGTGTGTGTATATATATATATATATATTTCCCCCCCTATTTCTCACCTTCTGCCATTTCCCACCCTCCTCCCACACTATTCCAGTGTTCACAGTTGTTTTCCATTTCTTTTCCCCCCCACATTTTATTGACCCACAAAATTTCTTAAATAATCTAACTACTTTCAATAGCAAGCTCTGCTGATATATACATATCTATGAATACATGTCTGACTTTAGGCATGAAACTCTGAGTAGAATGAATATACTATAAGGTAGCACCTTGCTGATGCTATATAGCTTACTACAGTCACTAATTATGTATTTTTTACTATATTTTTTAATTTCAAGAAAAGATAATTTAGCTTTAATAAATCAAAGAAATGCCAAGGAAATATGCTTAAAACTGAAAGCCAGGTAACAGGTTGGGATTCTGTTCAGATAGTAGGTACATGAACCTATTGGCAGCTCAGGACAAGACAAAAATCCTTAAAAATGGAAAACAAAGCCTAGAAGAAAATCAGCAATGTTTTGGTCAAAAGTCATACAATTCTATTTCACCAGTTCAGTCTCATGTACTTAATCTATCTTCTGTTGTGGTTTGAGTTTCCTAATTAAATTCTGGGATATAATATTCAATTACAGACCTGTTTTCATGATTAAGTTGGCCAATTTCTTAATTTTTGAACTCTTATTTCTGTGTGAAAATTTTCCGGGTATAGCCTCCCTGCAGAACTTCTTGGAGATTTTGTCTGGTGTTAGTAAATTCTTTCAGATTTTGTTTATCTGAGAATGTTCTTGTCTTCTCTTCCCATTTGAAGGATAATCTTGCCAGGTATGGTATCCTTGGCTGCAATTGCTTTTCCCTTAGCACTTTGAATATATTTTCCCATTCTTTCCTTACTCGCATTGTTTCCCATGAGAGATCCACTCTCAGCCTGATGGGATATCCTTTGTAGGTAACAAGGTTTCTCTCTTGCCAATCTTAGTATCTTGCCTTAGTCTGTGGTTTTTTGCTCAATCTGGCTATAATGTGTCTTGAAGAAGATCTTCTTGGGTTGATCCTATTGGGGGTCCTTTGTATCTCTTAGGACTGTATCTTTGAATGTCTCTCTAGGTTTGGAAAGTTTTCTTTCAGGATTTCATGGAATAGATTGTCAATGCCCTTATGAGTCTTTTCCCCTTCTGGGATACCAATTAGCTGGATGTTTGGATGTTTGATGGTATCTAGTATTTCTCGTATAGTGTTCTCATTTTGGGGGAAAATTTTCTCAGTCTTCATGGTGGATTTTTCTAGGCCAGTGATTCTACCTTCTACATCTGAGATTCAATTTTCAGTATGATCTAGTCTGCTTTTAATACTTTCAAGGGAGGTTTTGACTTGTGTATTATAGTCTTCATCTCTAACAGGTCCACTTGATTCTTTTTTATAGTGTGTATTTCCTCTTTCAGATCTTTCAAGAATTTCCTCACCTCCTGAAGCTCATCAGCTCCTTTCCCTTGCCTCTTCGGCAGTTCATTGTCTCTCTTCTCTTTGATCTCTGTGAGCTTTGTCACCATGAAAATTCTAAATTCTTTATCTGACATTTCCATGAATTTCATCATAATGAGGATGTAGAGGAATTATTATTTTTCCTTGGAGGAGAGGTATTTTCTTTTTTTCTCGTATTTCTTGTGACCCTGCAGTGATTTCTAGTCATCTGATGGATGGTGCATTTCTTGTCGTTCTTGAAGTTCAGTCTGAGTGTTCAGAAAGCAAAAAGTCAGGGTCGGCAGGTGGTGTGGTGGGCACTGGACTCTCACATGGCTGACCACAGTTCAAGTCCTGGACATGGCAGCTTGCTTTCTCACTTTCCCTCTATTTCTCTCTCACTCTATCCCTCTCTGGTCAAAATGAAACAAACAAATAAGTTAATAAAGATAATTCTTTTTAAAAAAAAATCAAGAAGTCAAACTCATAGCCTAAAGCCCCTTCCCCTCTTTTTTTCCCCAGATTTTAAAAACAGGACAAATGTTCTTGCCAGAGAGATGGAAAGTGAGAAATCACCCCTTAGGGGGATAACCACACTGCAGTCCCTTCTTCTCCATTCTCCTCTCAGGATTTTGGGCATACACATACACATGTGTTGGGCGATTTTCAAGCTGCTGGGTCCAGAACTCAAACCATGGTTAGCCATGTGAGAGTCCAGCTCCTTAATCACCATGCCAGCTGCTGGCCCCACCTCAAGCCCTTAAATAATCAGCATCATTCCATTCATGAGGGTGGAATCCTCATAATCTAAACACCTCCCATTGGGCTGCACCTCCCAACACTGTTGCTATGGAGATTAAGTTGCCAACACATACTTTTGTATGTATGGGGGGGGGGATTCAAACCTTAGTTAGCATATTGGGTTTGGAAATAATTCCTTAAATATGACTACAAAAGAGCAAGCAATGAAAGAAAAAATAAATGAATTGGACTTGATTAAAATTAAAATATTTGTGTTTCAAGGACGGTATTAAGGGGGTAAAAACATGACTCACAGTTTAAAGGAAAATATTAATATTTATGAACTGTATATCCAACAAAGGTCTAGTAACTAATATCATTTATATATATATATGTATATATACATATATATATATATGAATATGTAATACTTTTATCATTAAACAACAAAAAGATAAGAAATTCAGTTTAAAATGGGGAAAGAAATACCATAGACATTTCTCCAATGAAGATATACAAATGACCAAAAAACATAAGATGCTCAATGTCATTAGTCATCAGGGTAATTCAAATCAAAATTACATTAAGGATCACTTCACATCCATTAGGATGACTAATATCCAAAAAATGGAAGTGTTGGCAAGAATGTAGAGAAACTGAAACGCACACACATTGGTTGTGGGAATGCAAAGTGGTTTAGATGCTGCAGAAAACAGTACGGTAGTTTCTTTAAAAGCTAAACACGGAAATATATACAACCCGGGAATTTCACTTCTACATATATACTCAAGAGAAGTGAAAACAAGTGTTCAAACAACAATGTAATATTCATACTGTTTAAAAGGTAGAAACAACCAAAATGTCTACAAATGGATGAACAGATAAAGAAAACACAGTATAAACCTGCCTAGAATATTGTTCATTCATAAAAAGAAATGCAGGATGACACATGCTACATACAACACGGATGAATTTTGAAAAAAAAATCTGCTCAGTGAAAGACACTAGATCCAAAAAGTCACATATTGTATGACTCGATTTATATAAAATATTTGGAGTAGGAAAATGCATGCAAATAGCACATCAGTGGTTGCCAGAGTCTAGGGGCAGGGAAAAATGAAGAGTGCTTCTTAATATTTATAAGGTTTCTTTTGGGAATGATGAAAATGTTCTGGGTCTAAATAATAGTGATGATTATACATCATTGTGAATATATCCAATGCTACCAAAACATACACTTAAAATTGGTTAAAATGGTAAATTATATGCCATGCGTATTTTAATGAAATTACAACAGATAAGCCAAAAAGATAATAAAGAAACACCAGAAACAATTTTATGTTTATAAATTCAACAATTTAGAGGAAATGGATCAATTCTTTAAGATCATAAGACTAAAAGACAATCAAAATGAATTAGACAAACTGAATAGTCATCTACATGCAAAAATTAAATTTGCAGTTGAACACTACTGAAAAGAAAATCTCCAGACCCAGATAGTTTCACTGAAGAATTCTACAAGACACATAAAGATTTTATACAAATTTTACGTAGTGTCTTCCAGAAAGTACAAGAAGAGGGAATATTTACCAACTCATTTTATCAGGTTAACACTACCTTGCCACCAAAATCAAAGACAATACAAAGAAAATTGTAGGCAAATATTCATCACAAATATAGACAAACAATCCTCAGCAAAATATTAGCAAATAGGGAGCCAGCGGGTGGCATGGTGGTTAAGATGCTACACTCCCACATGGCCCAACCATGATTTAAATCCCAGAGTTGATGGCTTTCATTCTCATTTTTCTTCTCTCTCTAGCTGTCTCTCTCTGGCAGGTACATGTGCCCTATAGCAAAAACTTTAAAAATAAATAAATAAAATAGATTTTTTTTTAAATTAGCAAATTGAATGAAATGATGTAGAAAAAGTATTATAATCATGGCCGAGTAGGATTTATTCTAGGTATGCAAGTCTGGTTCAACATTAAAAATCAATTATGTAATGGTCCATCCTATCCACAGGCTAAAGAAGAAAATGTATTTGATTAAATCAACTGATTCAAAAAAAAGTACTTGACTAAATCGAATACCCATGGTAAAAACTATCAGGAATAGAGTGGGAGCTTTCTCAAGTTGATGAAGAACATCTACAAAAGTCTTAAAGGTAAAAGACTAAATCCTTGGGTCTAAATTTGGGAACAAAACAAAAATGCTCACTCTCACCACTGCAAGTCAGAATAGCATTGGCAGTTCTAGACATTGTAATGAAGCAATAAAAATATTAAAAGACACACCAATTAGAATAGATGAAATAAAGTGTTCCTACTTGCAGGTAGGAAATATAAATCAAAACTACAGTGAGCTATCACCTCATACCCATTAAGATGGCTGCTATCAAAAAAATAAAATAAAATAACAAATGTTGGCCATGATATGGAAAAGCTGAAACCCTTGTGCACTGTCGGTGGGAATGTAAAATGGTGCAGATGTCCTTCAACAAGGGATAATTCGGTACACTGTGACACTGTGCACTGCTACTACTCAGAGAGGAAAAGGAACAAATTTTACATGCACAACAACCTGGACAAACCTCTAAGAAATTATGCTAAGTGAAAAAAACAACCTTAAAATGATATATTGCGCAATTCCATTTATATGGCTTTCTTGAAATGACAAAATTATAGAAACAGACAATTGATTAGTGGTTGCTAGAGACTGACAGTTGGTGCAGAAGGGATGTGGTTATAGAAGGGAATCTGGGGTCCTGTGATCATGGAAGTGTTATATATCTTGACCATATCAATGTGAAGATCGTAGTTATGATATCGTATTACAGTCTTGAAAAGTAGTACTATTGAGAGAAACTTAGTAAAGGATACATCAGGTGTCTGTGCATTATAATTATTATTACTATTATTATTTTAAAGGAAATATTTAGCTATTTAATTCTATTTGTTATCATTATTTTTTAATTTGACCAGAGAGAGAGAGAGAGAGACCCTGCCACAATCCCTTCTTCTCCATTTTCCTCTCGGAATTTTTGGGATGCACATCTACGTCTGGCGTGTTTTTCCTTTTCTTTTTAAAAATAATTATTTATTTAATTTTATTTATTATCGCTATTTTTTAATTTGACTAGAGGAAGAGAGAGAGAGAGAGCAAGAGAGAGGAAAAGTGAGAAGGAAGCCACCAGATCTGGGACTTGAACCATAGTCAGCCACATGGGAATCCAGCACCTTAACCACCATGCCACCTGCCAAACCCTTTATTTATTTATTTATTTATTTATTTATTTATTTATTTATTTAGATTTTTACCACAGGGGGCTTGTGCTCACTGGATAGACAGAGAGACAGAAAGCGAGAAATCAGCCCCGCTCTCCCCCAGTTGAGATGACCATGCTGCAATCCCTTCCCCTCCAGTCTCCTCTCGGGATTTCGGGCATGCACACACAAATGCCTGGTGTGAGTT